AACCAAGAAAGAATGAAAATAGAAAATTGTTTGGGAATACATACTAAAGTAAATGGATTTTAAAATATCCTCCTGCTTATAGTGCTACTTGCAAAACAGTGACAACCCCAACATCCCAACAAATACAGGGCAATTCATGGTGTAAAATAACTGTGACCTTTTATATGTTCTAGATTCATGAGTGGAAAGAAGGATCTGCATGATGTGGGGTTTCAGAAGCGTGGAGAGAGGGACGTTGACCCGTTATTACCTCTCATATTACATGGTGATACATTCTAATGTAGGTAATTACTTGGTTTTGGACTTGAGACTTACAACACAAAGACCTCAGAGGTAGGGATTTCTTCTGGCTTTACAGTAATTTTCCCTCTATCTTGCTGTACAGCACTCACACATACCTTTGATTAAGTGAGAAGTGAACATCAAGTGCAGGGCAGAAAGAAGCACTCATTACAATACCACTTTAGGACATAAGCTGAAATTCACCAAACAAGAGCCTCTGTATTGTTTAACTCCAGCAACTTTCCTACTTTGAGAATGTGGGTTCATGTTGATCTGATGTTGGCTGTTGCCCCTAATTTAGATTGCAGATGTCAAGACGAAGTGTTTGTAGATGGAGCAAGAATGTAAGAAAAGAGGCATGGGTGGGTTGCCAGATAGGTGATACCTGATTTATTTATTAAATCAGGAATAATGAATATTGTTGCTTTTATGTTTAGGTTGTTGCAGATTTCTTAGGGTCTCCCATAGGTAATGAGGCTAATTCCTATGTCTCACTACTCTGTTGTACTCTCTGTATTTTAGAATTAAGCTATAAGGAGTAGGTACCTTAATATCATAGTCAGTTAAGTAGTAAATTTTGTAGGATTTCTGAATGCACCTCACCAAGTCCACATTTCAACAGTATATTGCCATTCAACAAAATTCTGAAGGTGAAAGGTGTCAAGGTGCTACTTTGGTCTCATTGACTTAATTCGTATTTCTCAAAACCTTGTCCTTAGGTGGATACATATACTCTGCATTTTTGTAAGGTAATGATCCAGTACACTGTTGGAGGACTTTGGCTCCCACTGGAGTCAGGGGTCCTATACATACAGCAAGGCACTAATGGCCATGAGTAGTCTGATTACAGAGAAGTACTCACACAATGGTTTTAGCCTGATTGAGCCCCTTGACTCCAAAGGGATAAAGAATACTAGGTCCCTTGGAGGAATCAGCCCTGAAAGTCCTGAGTTGTTGATGTTTCCACTGACTGGGAAGAATAGGCTGGAAGAACAGAAGGAAGGAAGGTTAAGGGCTTCAGAAGAACATGGTGATAGAAGAAAGAAGTGTATATTGTTTATTCCCATCAAAGGGAATAATACTGCAGAAAGGCTATAAAACTGTCCTCCTCTTGCAGAAGTTAAAGTGACAACTGAACAGTCCAGTTCAGCCAAGTGTTCTCAGGTCCCATTTCAAGGGAAGTAGACAATCATAAATTGAACAAAGCAGGTGAACTGATGAGAAAGAATGAAGAAACAACATCCAATGGGGCAGAGCAGTTCTGCAGCTGTCTCTGTGTCCCTTTTCCAGTGGTCCCACTTGAGGAAGGATGAGGCTGAGCGCTATTTTGCATTAATGTTTTTAAACTCCTTTGTCTCTCTCTCTTTTTTTTTTCTTAATTACCGGACGCCACTCAGGGGCACGACCTTCCTCTAGGTAAATTGGAAAAGCTTTTAAAAACTCGGCATCATTAGCCTGTGCAGCTTCTGTCCGGAAAGCTTTCCAAATGTCGTTGCACGGAAGAGAGGCATTTGCCGCCCTGCAACTGCCGGGAGCCTCGGTAACAAAGGCTTCATGGGCGTGGCCATCTTTCCGGGTGTTATCGTCGGAAGAGGCTCTGGCCCTGCCCCTTAGTTTTTGTCTACCCCGGGAGGGTGATGGCGTGGGGGTAGAGGCGGCGCTGGAGGAAGAGGGGACAGGACACGAGGAAGGATGCAAGCAGACTTGTTTATTCAGGCGTCTGTCTGATTCTTAAAACCTCCCGCCAGGGGAAGGGGCAGAACAAAGGGTGGGCTATCAGACAGACAAGCAGGGGAGCAAATCACAATAGGGTACAGGCAAAAGGGGGAGGAGGAAGCCTGGGCATGTGCAGTTGTGCACTGTGTAGTATGGATACAATGAAACCACATAATAACAGTAAAGTCCATATGAAAGTCCTGTCGATTGCTGTATGCTTTTCTCCATGCCTGGAACTGTTCCCATCCTGAATCTTGCTTCTCTACAATTGACCTCAGCCTGAAAATAAGCAGAGCACTTGCACTCACATCAGTATAAATGAAAACCATTTCTTTGGATTTTTATTTGTTACCTTTTTGCAAGTATTATTTTATCCTTTCATTTCTCTTTTAATCCTGATTTGGTTCCATTTGGCAGCTGCAACAATAGTTTCGAGCTTCTGGCAAGTGAAAACAGATGAGAAATATTCTCTGCGTTGAAGTTAAATGCTTTGCTGCAGCAACAGGCCTCTCCAGCTTTCCAGCTACCATGAATCCTGAACCTACTCTTAAACTGGTAAGTCAGCAGCCATGCCAGCACAACGCATTGCCAGAATTGTTCAATCAGGCCAGTCTATATTGATTTATTTTTAAATGTATTCAGCATCAGTTCCTCTGTTTTCTGTCTGTTAGCGATATTGTCACAGGCTTTGATTCACCACCCCTTCTACTGCAAATCCTATGAACACATTATCAAGCAGCCGGTGCACCTTGGATTTGAAGCTGACAATACAGGATCAAGGTCCCAGGGGTCCAACCCTGAATTTCAATAATTCAGTTAAATTTCTTGAATACTGGATTCAGCCAGATCGATTCCACTTTGCTTGCACGTTCACATAAGAGGCATCCTCCACAGAGAACCTGCATATAGTCCTCTTGTTGATGTATAACAAAGGGAAAAGAGAAGATATTGAACTGGAAAAAAGATAATCAAGCATCGAACCTGCTGAGCCTATTACATGAAAAACTGTTCCAGAGAATGTTGCAGCAGCTGAAGCCACTGGAGGATACTGTATATAGAATTGGGGTCCTATTAAAAATATATAAACATATTCAGGATTATGGTTTAAAGCTATGGCTACGGGTATGAAATGAGCTTAACTTAGAACTCCTAGGTTCCCTCTAGGCTCATTTACAACTAACCAAGGGAAAAAATAAACTCTTTTATTGCTTGAATAATTCTATGCTACCTATAACACTAGTTAATAGTTAATAAGGATTTATGCCTCTCATAACTGAAAGGTGTATCTAGTTTCAGCAAGCAGGAAGGCTTATGTTATGAATGCTAGAAATTCGTTGCCCATACTTCATTCACAAACAATATAGGGAGAAAGAAAGAAAGAAAGAAAGAAAGAAAGAAAGAGAGAAAGAAAGACAAAGAAAGAAAGAAAGAAAAAAAGCAAGCAAGCAAGCAAACCTGTGCAAGCCACAAGTTATTACTACATAGTAAGATTCTTTAAAGAATGCCCCAGCTTCCAGGTTCAACTCCAAACATCTCTGGATTTGTTCCTTTGGACGCAAGAGTCTACGATATAGTACCCTCCATCATGCGTGGTACCCTATGTGAATAGTTATTCAGGCTATGTAACAACCTCCTTCCCATCCAACAGCTACTGCAAATCTGTAACTGCAGGATGTGCTGACTAATGATAAACACTCCTTCTTAGTCTGCAGCTGGAAGTTTCTTTGGGCCCTCATTACTTCTTGATAGGTTTTTGCAAAGAACATTCAGAATGAGAAGTTATAATTTTATTTTAAGTTGCTGTTCTTGTTGTAATAGAAGAGGATAAAAAATAGCAGTAATTGATAGTAATGAAACTGTGAAATCAACTTCCCAAAAAGCAGAAAGTCTGTCATGGCTAGAGATTCTATATTTTTATTCTATATATTTAGGAGAGAACATTTGTCCTTATGGTCTAATTTGCTGGTCATTTTTCATTGACTACTAAAGGAAAAGTCATTGCCCTATAAAAATTTTTACTGGGAACTCAATTAAAAAAAATTCCAATTTTTTCTGATTAGGTGTTATGATTATTTAATATTTTAAAAAAAAATCAATCATAAATAGTCCATATAGGGTATAGCATAATAATACCCTGGAAAGTAAGTATTCATGGGTCTTCCAGTATCAATACTTACCCTTGTTTATAGCCAGCAACAAAACCAAAAGATCACTTTTACTTTGAAAGGAGACAACTCAATTTTTTTAAAAAATTTTTTTAATAAACTATGACCATTTCAATTCCATAGGTTATGTTCCTGTATGACTGTTCTAGTTCTTATTAATTTATTTGCTATAGTAGCAATCAGAGACCCATTCTGAATTGAGATATTGCACAAACACTCAGAAAAACACAAAAATTATTTTTACAAAACACAAATGAGGCTCAATGAAAGCTGGAAAGGATGGAGTTGGGAGTACATACTCTTATGATACCCTTATGTAAAACCATTTATATTAACAAAAAAATGAACATGTTGAATAAGAACTAACGTTACAATAGTCTCAGCTTAAATTTTATTACCACAATAAAAAAAAGTAATTTTTTTAAAAAATGCAGCCTGATTACTATCTCAGGAAAGAAGTGCTATTTATTTTTATAAGGCTTTATTCCTTTTGTTGACATCTTCTCAAACCACACTGAAATTTTCATTGACAATGTCTCTGGGTATAGCATTTTAATATCTTTTGACAGTGAAGAGCTGCCTTCTGACTAGCTGGCTCATTGAGGATAAACTTCCCATCTATACCATCATTCACTATACAGATCTTTTTTATTTTGATCATTAGTTCACTGGTGCAGGGACTTTTTACACTTTGTGTCTCTTCTTATTTGTATCCCACAAACTGAATTGTAATGTTAATACCAATACTTGCTTCAATACGATTTCAGAATCAGTCCCCTAGTATACCAGTGCAGGGATGGTTCATTATACAAATATGCTTGTAACATACAGTGTTGTCCTTTGTGGTTAAAGCAGAGCTAATCCAATTAATTTGTTCATGAAAGACAAGCTGGTTTTAAAACAGGGTCTAGAACAAAGAGGAAAGGACAGTTTTTATTAACTTTCTCCCATGTCTCAAGACATATTTATTGCTTTCTGCTGAAGCAGAAATAATAAAAACCTGAGTACAACCACTTGCATGAAAAATCTTTCATCTCTTGTGCATGTAAATAGATTGGACTTTTGATTGAAAATACTCTTATGTGTTTCTTAAGGCTTAAACTTTAAAATGCCTAATTTGGAAAGATAACAGGATGTGTAAAAGAGTGACTTTCATAATACATGGCAACAGCATTATTAATTAAAGCAGAGGACACTGCAAGGATATGTCAAAGCAAAATAATGTTCAGCTAGCAGCAACAGTCTGAGCTATAGGTTAATTTTATTCTGTTATAGAGGCAGACATTGTTTTTCACATTGTGTTACCAGAGATACCAGTGAGATACTCAGCTAAGGTTTTTGCTAAAGAGAGAGACCACATGAAAAGCACAAGTAGTCACATTTAGAAACTATGTGATTGTTCAGGGATATTTTCTCTTCCTCGTCAGGAATATTTTCTCTTTTCCACTATAAAGACTCTTACCAGTGGTAGCCTTTATGAGTCTCTGAAATAAAAGTTGAACACAAAAAAATGGAATGAAAGGGTTAATGTGCATTTACACAGGCACAAGTGGTAACATGTATTAGCAATTGGTTGGTTGGGAGACCTGTGAAGTTGAGTTGCAGGCACACAGTCATGGCAGGTTTTCCCCTTCTAGATGTTGAGCATGTACTCCTACTGGGCTGAAAACCTCCAGGAGGATGCTGTTAATGAAAGAGACTTTTCTTGGTTCTGAAAATACAGATGTATTTATCTGAGTGTCTGGCAGAAAGTTCTTTCCCTCCAGGTTATGACACTAATAGTCATTAGCAGGTTTAAATATCTTTACAAATGGTAGCGAGACAGGATGTACCAGTCACCCTGGGATATAACAAGGCAGGAGTTGGAGCAGTATTCACAAAGCTATTATTGCATTGAGAGATGGGGTCATGCTCAGAGAGTTTTATTGTCTGTCTAAAACACCTGATTTGAGAAGTATTTGTCCAGTTATGAGCAAACTGGTTTCTCTGACTTGTCCTCTTTGACCTTTATATATTACAGGACAGAGCTTCACGTGGCTTTATTTGTCATGGACACACTGATCTTCAAATACTTAGAAAACTTTCACCAGGCAGAACCTGCACTTCTATTTAGATCCCATTTCTTTCTCAGGCTGTTCTGAATTGTTCTGTCGCACTGATTCATAATGCAGTCCAGTCTGTAATAGTGCTAATTAACAGTTGCTGAAAACATTGATTGTTCCATACATGGCTTTCAGGGAAAGATTGTGCAAAACCACAATGCAGCCTGAATTATGAAATGTTCTGCTGCCTGAAATAAGATTTGGAGTCAGGTCACTTTCTTGTTATGAGCTTTTGACCTGTACTGGGTACATTAAGTAAATATCATCGAATGTAATCCATATTGGAATAGTCTTACAGACTATTATGAGGAATTCCACATTTTCAGTTGAGAGTAATAAGTTTTCAGAAAATGGTCTTCTTGATTTGGAGGTAATAACAAAAAACCAAAACTAGAGATTGTTCAGTTGCCTATATCTGGGAATGATACTCTGATTTAGAAAATAAAAGGAAACAAGATAACATTCCCACAACAAAACAATGATTTAATCTTTTTATAGAATATGGAACTATTTAGTATTTTCACAAGTTGGAACTAGAAATATGGCAACAATATGGAAGTTGAGAGAAACATCATGTACACAAGCCTCTGACTTGCTTGTTTGTGATGGTGTCACTTTTGCTTGATGACTGTCCACTGATTGAGAAGACCCAATCAGAAGCTGCTCACCCATTACAGGTGGGTATTTCTACACCTCTTGTAGAGGACCCCCTCTTGTGGGGGCCATTTCAGCATCCATGCTTGGCCGAGCTCAGTGTGTTTCGGATGAAGTGCACGCAGAAGAGTAAATGCGCTGAGCAAAATGTTTATCCAACCCCACAGCAGCCCTGTGTAGAATAAGTCCTGCACATGATTCATTCCATTTGTGCTCTGACCTGTGCCACTGTTGCTTTTCAAGTGCACTGCTGGCTGAGGGTCATCAGACACTGGTGATTGTTGAACATTCATTTTCTCTGTGCCTTCACAGCAGCAAAGCTTGTCTAAAGTTGTACATCAACACATTTTCCAGCAACTGTTTCCCCTTCTCTCCTTCTGTGGCCAACTGTGTGCTTAGAACTAATCCCCCTGGTATTAGCCGTGCTTAGCACTGCAGAGATGAATACAAAATTTAAAAAGTTGAGAAATGTTTAAATGGTTATCCCAAATGTACCTCATCAGTGTTACTGAGACCTTTCTTTATCTTATTTCAGGAAAGGTACTTTCCTTTTGGTTCATTCATTGTATGTAGCTTTTTTCTCTTTCTTCCCCCCTCCCCATCTATAACAACATTTTCGATTCCTCATGTACAGATTTTTGTGAGCATCTCTTCTGCAAATATTCTTTCCTGCACCTACAACCTTGGGTGAATTGAAGAATATATTTTACAAAAGGTAGAGCCTTCAAGTAGCAGAGGCTTCACCAGGTTGTAAATAGATGATGAAATAGATAGATGATGCAATAAATTCTTCTACCAACTGATAGCTTTCATTGTTAAAAATCACTTATTAGCACTCTAAATTTATCTAGATTAATTTTCCCTTCCAGTGGAAGATGTTTTATCATTGTTTGCTAGTCAGAAATCTTTCTCTGACACTCACAGTGATCAAACCAACTCATAACGTTTCCCATACAATAATAGGACTGAGCACTAGACTCCTAGAAAAAGTGAGATTTTCCAGGTCTTATGTAGATCTTTTAGGTCTTCATTAAATATTTCTAGTTTGTAAACATCCCCTTTTGCAACCAACAAATTTTTCTTGACTGTTTTGTTAATATTATTAATGGTTATATACAATGGAATAATACTCTCAGCATTATTCTTTATTTCTGAATATGACTACTGCTTTGCTTTTTATGTATTCTGTCATACCAGGAGGTCATGTTTGAAACATATTCTATTTAGCACTTCAGAAACAGCAGTTTTCCAAAAATCATTCCCTCTTCCTGCAACTCTGACCTAAATTCCATTTTCACAGATGCTTATCCTTGAACTCCATTATTTTAAGAGGCATGGTGGTTGTATGGTCTCATCTTGCTAAGGGAACTTGATTGCTCTGTGGAACTGACCAATCCTCATCCTGATCTACCACTCCACTGATTTTATGTAATCTATAGACCTTGACAATATCGACTAGCGTGGAGCCAAGAGTAGACCATGGTGGGATCCCACTAAAAACATTCCTATTATATGATGACTACCAGCCAGTTTTAATCCATTGAATATGTAGCACAGTGATTTATTTGTTTTTAATAGAACAAATCTATTAATCAAAATAAGATGAACTTCTGGGTCAGATTATGTACATATAGGTTACTTTGTCAGCTGTATTTGTAATCTCAGCAGGACATAGTTCCTATCAATGAGATCTGTTTCCAATTCATCCCTACTGATTAAGCATTAATATTACTATGATTTCTTTTTTCATCTTGTGTGTACAGTGAACCTGAAAATCTACCCATCTATTAATGCTCTCAAATACGTCTTCATGTCTTAGCTCCAAGAAGCTGATTCTAGAGTGATATCACTTTTCCTTTTAGTTGAGTTTGCAGTGACCAAGTTGTAACATGGGATAAAATTTCAGGCGAGAAAAAGATTGTGAGGAGAAGAAAGAACTGGATAGAAGAGTTACATGACAGTGTATCCAGCACTCTGTCTTGTGATATTATTTTAATTTTGCTCCTTGTAGAGTTGTTTGTTTATTCTGCTGTGGGTATGTTTCTTTGTTTGGGATTTTTTCCCCTGTTAAATACTTTGTGGTTCTAATGTTCTAAAACTGGGACATCTGTGGCTTTTCAGGATTTTTTCATTGCTTTTTCTAATTCCTAATAGCCCACAAGAACAGGTACACCACTACATGTTAATGTAGCTAACTTTTGTAGGAGTAACTTTTTCTTGAGCTACTAGGAGCTATGTCATAGAGGTTTCACAGTTGGTGTGCAGATTTTATTGAAAACATTCAGTGCTTCTGCATTTTTTTAACACTTCCTCACTCCCCATTAACACTAGATATTATAAGCTCCTGTAGGTTTTTCTAAGTAAACAATCTACAAGAAAATTGAAATAGAACAATATTTTAGAAATTTATTATAGATATTTTACAGTGGGCTCAGTACAAACATTCAATTTTAAAGACTTTTTCTTTCCTCCCCACTCTTAATAATCTGGTCCCAAACAACACCTCAAAATGACATTTCTAGCTTAGGAAAGCCAAGAGCCACATATTGCTGGAGGCTGAGAAAGTGTCATTGTACGCTTGACCTATTTTAATCCTTTCTATTGGCATCTGTTGTTGGCCATTGTTGGAGATGAACTGATGGGTATTTGGTTTAACCCAGTTTATTGTTATTGTGGTCTCGATTTCTCCAATAATTAATATATATTCTTCAGAGGTACCAGTATATTAGCTTTCTTCAACTTTGTTGCATAAGTTTTTAAACCCTTATTATTCAGGCTAAGCACAGCAGCTATATCACTGTAGTAAACGGTTGCATGTTGCATATTTTCCTTTTTTCTGTTGCTACGAATGCAGTTTTCATTAAACACAGAAATACTCTGCTTATATTTTCTGTTTGGAAAATCAATCTAATCTCAAATATACTCAAATTCCCTTCATGTTTCTGCCACAGAGACTAGCTGTCACTTGTTCCATATGTATATTTCCAGTGAACAACAAAGCTGCTTTGGGGAAAAAAAGAACAACGTGAACAGTAGAAGGAAATGGTAGGTGATATTAATTTATATTAGTGGAGAGTATCATTAGCCATCATTGTTAGAGTGTAACCTGAATGAAACACATGCTATAGAGTTAAAAATATTTGTAATTATTGTACTGCTTTTACCATCCATCTAAGTTTATGATTTTCTCCAGTCTAAATTACCTGATGATGGATGCTAATATGAGTGCAATGAGACCCAAGATACCAAGGTTTGAGGGCACTTCTATGTGTCACCTATTGGGAAGGTTTTCATGAAATTCAAATAACCAAATGACAGACTCTGATAAGATTCAGATGAAGAAAGGTTTTGGGTTTTGGGGGGTTTTTTTCAGTAGCAGTAGACCCACCTGGTCCAGTTCACTGTTCTTGTGCTATAGCAATCTGAAAACTGGAACAAATTTAGAATAAATTAAATGGATTTATAATTGAATAAAAAAAAAATTATCTTCTACTTTCTATGTCACTTGATTAGAGATATCCAAGACATCAAGATACAAACACTCTCGGAAGGAAAAACCACCGAATCAAAAGAGCACACTTTAAAGAAAATGTAACATAGTCACTATCTCATGGGTCCCTTGCAATCCATGCTACTGGCTTACAATGACACCTTTAGTACTCAGACATACTGATGTAAGAGTGTAACATTGCCATGGATCTGTAGCTACCCAGGTGTAGGCACTCACACAAGGAGAAATCTTAAGACAGTAGTAGAAGTCAGTCATGAAGTGAAATTACTTTGTCAATAATTTTGACTGTTCCTCTTATAGAAAGGAATATGTTCTTTCTAGATTTTCTCAAAATGTTTTTCAGAATGCTGCTTAAGATTCAAAACATTTCCGGTTTCTACACTTTCCACTCAAAAGTCAGATTGAAGAATACACCTGAATGTTCAAACCTGCCTCTCATGCACACTAAAAGCAGTAGCAGAGTGATTTTTTTCATAGTGTAAGGATGTGATTTATGCCTCTTCTCTTCTTTTCACCAGCACCCATGCTGTGCTGTGCTTTGCTTTCATGCAAACTGTAATCTATGCAAAATTCTCTTTTCCCATATTGTTAACTGATCTACCTGTTTACTTCTAGCTTAGGTGGAAGTTAAGTAAACAATAGGAAAACTCCTTGAAAGCAAAAGATCGCACATAGATTTATTTTCCTTCCTAGAAGCCTCATACAGAGTTAAAAGTGTGGTAGCCTGGCAGGAGGACAAGAATTTTTACCCATGCTTAAAGTAATTAGAGCAGGTCAGACATAAACATGAGGTGGCTGTCCTGCAAAATGTTACGCACATTGATAATTACAGAATTGTATATGAATATGTGTCTGAGTTTGATACAAACAAACAAGCACCTTCACTGAAGCCAGTGTGGATCTACTTGTATGATTAAGTTTCAGCTCTGCAGGTCCAGGGAGAAAGAATTAAGCTGTATCTTTTAGTGACGGGAACTATGAGACATCTTTGTAATTTTAAAATAACCTTCAAAAGAAAAGTAGGGTGTATCACTAGCCAACACTGAATTTCTTTTTAACTTTCTTTTAAACTCTTTTCTTCTAACTTTTCCCTCATCTCCAAGGCAGTGGGAAAAATCCTTATTTGGTGCACCACAGAAAAGAATGTTTAGTATCTTGAAATAGATGTCCTTTCTTGCTTCTGTACCCACTCAAAAATGGGTAAGGTTGGAAGGGTCATCGTCAGTGGATCATCTGATCCAATCTCCCTGCTCAAGAAGGGTCGCTCTAGAGCACATTATACAGGATTTTGTCCAGACAGTTCTTAAATATCTCCAGTGATGTAGACTCCACAACTTTTCTGCGCAATCTATTCCAGTGCATGGTCACCCACATGCCAAAGAAGTTCTTCCTCATGTTTATGTGGAACTTCCTGTGAAAGAGTTTTTGCCTGTTGCTTCTTATCCTGTTGGTTAGCACCACCAAGAAGAGCCTGGATCCGTCCTCTTGACACCCTCCTTTCACATACTTAAAAGCATTGATGAGGTCCCATCTCAGTCTTTTCAAGGCTGAACAGGCCCAGCTCCCTCAGGTTATTCACAAGAGAGTTGTTCCTGCCCCCTAATCATCTTCACTGCCCTCCGCTGGACCCAATCCAGGAGCTCCATGCCTCTCTGGCACTGAGGAACCCAGAACTGGACACAGCATTCCAGATGCAGCCTCACTAGAACTGAGTAGAAGGCAGGACAATCTCCCTCAACCTGTTGACAATGCTCTTCCTAAAAGAAGAATTTCCTATTCACATCTAGGAAAATAAATAAATACTTTTTAAAAAAAAAATAACTCAAAATACAATATAAAAAAATCAAAATATTCTGGTTATGCTGCAAAAGGGAACTTGACTCCCTCAGGGCAGTGTGTGGTGCTCCCAAAGGTATGATTTTTTTTACTAAGCAATAATTATGTTAAAAACTAAAATAAATCAAAACATTTAAAAATTAACCCTCCTCAGACTTAAGCATTCTGAATGTAAGATTCGAGTCAGCCTTTACATCTCTCTTTTTTTTTTGCCTTGCTTTCAGAGTAACTCAGTCTCTACAAGAGAGCTAGAAACTACTTACATATGCAAAAGTACCCTGCACATTGTGAAGCATTTCAACACTCTGTGATAAAAAACTTAAATAAGACTGTCTCATTTTTAAGACAAGTTTTTTGGTGAAAAATACTGCTCTCCTATGGAAGTGCCTGGATGGTTTTGCTTTCCTTTTGGTTCTCAGTATTTGCTTCCCTCTCTAAAAATACGGTGATGTTAAATTTGCTTTGTGATCAGCTATAAAAGTATGTTATTACTGAATAGAAAGAACGATTCCTGAAATTAGAATTTTAAACTGTAAGTGATAATGTTTACTTTAAATTAGAGTCATTCACTCATGCAAAAAAAATAGAATCCCAGTTTTATGTCAAATTCTGACATTAGCATTTAATAAAATAATCATCTGCCATAAACAGCTGTAAAACTACATAAGAGGAACACGGTAATAATTATAAAGTATAATTCTTTGTACTAATCGAAAGATTGGTTTACTGTTTGCATAATGTGCATCTCATCATTTAGGGACCTTGTCCCTGAACATGTAATGTGAGAGTGTGTTCTATATTTAATAATCAGAATTGCAATGAAATCCAACAATTTATCTGGTGTTTCAAATATGAACTCAAGTTGCTTAATGGTCAAATGCAACATTTTAAATTTTGTCTATTCAATTGCCACTTACTGAAAGAGTTAAACTCATATATGACTGGAATTAAAGCTAGAGAGATATTGCTCACAGGCAAAAGAGAAGGCAAAAAAGAAAGAAAATAACTGAAGGAAACAGAGCACCTATATTGCAAATGCTTAAATGAGAAATCCAAATAAACATACAAAGCATCTGGGTTTAGATAATTTTCAGAGACAATTCTAGGACTTCAGTAGTTTTAGGTGTTCACTTTGTTATTCTCTTACTCTTGAAGAGTGGTAACACTTTTTGCACAAAAGGGTTCTTGAGACACCCGGTTTTTTCCTTTACCAGTAAGGATTTGAAAAAAGTAATAGTACTAAAATTTGCAGTGTTTTTATAGAGCTGAAGTCACCAACAAGCCTATCTGAAAACAAAGAAACAAAGCACCTCTGAAAACGTAGTCTTACAGTCCACAGTTGGAAGCAAATTCTAAGGTATCCAAGTTTCTTAGACATTTCTGAAAGGTTTAGCTCACAATTTGAACACTAATAATACAATATAAAAGGAAGAGGGAGGTTTTGTTGTTGTTCTGTTGTTTGGTTTTGGTTTTGTGTTTTTGCTCTTTTTGTTTTATAAATCTCCACTTATCAGCTCTAGAAACAAAGGAGCAAACAAGTAAAGCGCCTGAAGGCAGACTTCAAAGTAGTTCCATTAACTTAAATGGGATATGCTGAAGTTTAGAACTTTGTAAAGTCAGACTATTTCATTAGTATGATACCATGGGTTTATGAACCTAAATTTAGACTTGTACTTATCAAAATCTTGTCCCAGACACTAAGTTTGCATTTTAAGGTATTTCTGTAAGTTGAGAAAATAAAAAATTAAGATGACTAGCCAGCATAAGTTTTTCTCATCAAGCATCTAGGTGAAGCAATTTTTTAAGGGTTTGCCACCGGAAAAATGTTTTCTTTTTTCCTTTAAAAATGGTCAAATATGAAAATTTAGCAAACTGAAGAGTTACCAACAGTCATAGACCCTTTTGTCTTTACATCTTCGTGAAACACATTTTACTTAACTTGAAAGGACAATTAGGATGCAGTGATGTTGCAAGCTTGAGATGCAGTCTAATTTCCACCATATGGTGTTTTTGTTTTTATTACCATCTTTGTAACAAAGAGCAGAACTTATTAACTTGTTTGGTTTCATGGTAATTTTGCCTTTTTTTTTTTTTTTTTGTCTTAAAAGATCTAGGTTAAATCCAATAAATTTCATCATTCCCCCCCCCCTTTTTTTTTTAGTAGGTTTCACATTTTCAACATTGCGTAAAATACCCATTTGTAATTATGTGTAACCTTTGTAAAGCCTCTGGGTAAAGTCTACTCATTAATCTTTAACCTGACAAGCCTTGGGGATGGTGGAATTGGCACAGATGTGTATTAAAGGCTCAGAAACCATAGGCTAGAGGTGAAAAAGGCATAATTAAGAGGTAGTATGAAAGGAAATGGAACAAAGCTAAAGGGATAAGATGATGTTATGGTGCATGTCAGACAATAATAAGGACCAGGGAATGCAAATTCCTGTATACACAAATAAAAAAATAAAGGAGGCAGCACATTTTTCAAAACAAAACCAATTTAATAGTCTTTCTTAGTGAAGCACAGATAACATTCACTAAATTAGATCTCAAACATTGTAATAATCATACAGCATAAAGACATGGTTAGTTTTTAATGCACCCCTATTTATCTTTTGTTTGTCTGTTTTAAGACAAGCTGCCTCACAGTAACTGTAAAAGGCACAAGTTAGTATATCTCAGCATCTCTCAGCAGCAAACATCTCCTGGACAAGTGTCAACCTGTAACTAAGGAAAAAATCCTGCCCCTGGCTGTGAGGAACCCCTGGCTGCTACACAGATGCTCTATGCTGATCCCATCAGGAGTCAGGGTCAGGATTCAAAACACTAGCTCTGAAAAGGCTTTATGGCTTTTGCAATACCTCTGTGAGGAGTACTTTGAAACTATGAAAACTACTCTCCTTGCTGTTCCTAAAGAACAAGATCCTGTCATCTGTTTGATTGTCTGCTGAAATAGGTCTCTAATTTTAAGTTCATTAATTATTCCTCTGACCACAGTTAGTCTCTCCATTTGATTAGACACTTGCCTTAGCACCTTTCTCAGTCTGATCTCCTCTGACCGGTCTATAAAGTAGTGGCATTAAGT